TTTGAAAAGTTTCACCTATTTAGCTTCTATTACTGTATTGGAAGCTTCTGTTCATAAGAAAATACAAAATATGTGGAAGATAAATGAAGCAGCAGTGCTAAGTTATAAAGATAGCTCTACTGCCAAAGGCCTATTAATGAAGATGGTTCTGAACCCTGCACAAAATGTACGAAAAGCCATGCTAGTGCATTGTCTTGATCAAGGAAAGGCAATAATGGCAAACAGACTAATAGGCAAATGAAAAATGTCCCCTGTTTTTTAATGGAATGTCACCACCATAGCCAATGTTGTCATCACCACCACTCCACTGGGACATCCACAACAGGCTTAATCACTCTTCCCAGTGATACATCTGACAAGTTTTTGCAACAACATTTAGCCCACAGAATCCATTCTGTATCGGAGATATTGGTACCATCCAACATTGTGCCGAAAGTGCACAAATGCAAAGAAAATGTCCGGGATGGATATCAGGGTCATGCATGGCCAATCACCCTGGTAGAATACAACATTACAACCTTAATGTTATGTCACAAAAACTTCGAAGCTTTGGTGTAGTCGAGAAAACTTGTAACACAGTATCAGAGCAATCCAGGTTCACATGTCCACTCGCCATGCATTTAAAAGTGGGTTTGAAAATAATACTCCTGCGTGGATCTAGTTTTCAGCCTGTGAAAAGGACATTGAACCGGCAGGGCATGTTAGAATATACAATTACGATCAATAATCCTCGCTACAGACTCAAAATTTTGGTTCCATAGGATGGAATTTTAAGACATCCAAAGGAAAGGAAGAGTTGTGAAGCAATTAAGGATCTACCCTAGTTAGTTTAAAATCTACAAGGACTAGTAAAATACGTGAACTGGATACTTCTTTCTAAAATCACCAAGCAAAACTATTCACGGGAGGTTTCTTCCAGTATGCATCTGCATGGTTTCACGCCTTACTATGATCATTCAGTGTAATCTTTTCTTATAAAAGTACAGGTAATTCCCTTCATCTTCCTTGTTTTCGATCATTGCAGTTAGTGACCTAGAAATCAGCCTATCATAATCTTCCACTGCTTTTCAATGATGAAAATCCAATCTAAATAAATCCTAGTTAGAGAAATGTACATATCCTTGTCCATCCGTCCCTTTAGGCGAGGACTTAAAATTTCTTAGTTAGAGAAATGTACATATCCTTGTCCATCCGTCCCTTTAGGCGAGGACTTCAAATTTCTTAGTTAGAGAAATGTACATATCCTAGTTAGAGAAATGTACATATATANGAACTCATTTTGCAATATGAACTACCAAAAGATGTTCATGTAGTGAGGCCCACCTTGCTAGCCACATCAAAAGGTATGGGCCTCACACACACATATAAACTGACATTGAGTTTGATCTCCAAAAGAAAGAGAAAAAAAGATAAAACATAATACAAATTCATAAGTTGCGACAAACTTGTGCGTTCCATCACCGCGATCCATCTCTGGATATGCACCAAAAGTGGGACAATAAACTAATTATCTATTAACTTTACCGAAAATGGGGAAAAAATCCTTTGGTTCTTTACCGTCTTTTGGTCCTGGACTCCAATATGCATTTCTAGAGAAATTTATCCAATCTAGTTATTATTTTTATCCTATATATCCTATATACTAATTTGTTGGAATTAGAATTTCAGTTAGGTAGAGACTGGGACAACCAAAAAGGATAAGGATTAGACATAAGGTTGGGAATTCGATTTGAGATAGCGACATGAATATCATCTTGAATAAGGAACATGATTAGGGTGTGTTAGTAATTAAGTTTAGGATAGAGTTTGGAATAAGGTTGGGAGTATGTTTTGGACGAATGCTTGAAATGAGGTGAAGGTGTTGGATTTGGACGTGAAAGGATCAGGAAAATGTGGTTTGGGTTTAGAAATAGACGAGGGACACATGTAGGGTTTAGGATAGAATAAATATATAAATAGGAATAAGACTAGGAATGAGCTTAGAATTTAGGTTTGGTTACAAAAATAGGAATAGCTATAAGGTGCGAACCAGGTTGGGTTAAGAATAATAATTGTACTTTTGTTAAATGAAATGACATTTTAAACATTTCATCCATTTTCACAAAGTGTTTTAAGACATCAACGTCATGGGGAATCTAAAAAGCATACTGGAAAAATTTTGGAAGTTGGAAACTTGGAATATATAGGTCCAGAGATATGGTTTATGGTCCAATTTTGTTCTAGAACTAGGTATAATATGAATTATAATAGGAATATGTGAAGGAGTAGAAACAATAGTTGGAATAGGATCAAAATTTAGACATGGATTAGTTGTATGATTAAAAATAAGCACACAACGTAGGCAAATGTTACTATTAACAGCTAACAAGTTATAGGTTATTAACTACTATTAATTATAAAAACATTTGTTCAAGAACTTTCAAAACTAGGTTACAATCACATGTGACAAACCAGCTCAAACCAACGAGAGTCAAGCTTTAAACTCAGCATGTAAGAGAACCATCATTATCGCTTCATAAGAATAGGAAGAATATTTAATTACAGGACAAGCACCAGGGATTATCTACAATTATTTTATTCTGATAACTAGCAATCTTAAATGATATTTTCCTTCTGTCCCTTGCCGGAAAGACTTCACATGAGATCACCCTAGTCAACTTTGTCACAAAACATATCCGAAGAATTTTTCAAAACAGACCCACTCCAAATTTTTTTTCTTAAAACCGACCCGTTTTTTTTTTATTTATCAAAACCGACCCGATTTTGTAATTAACAGCTTAATCACCTTCCTAAACAGTCGGGGTTGGCAACCCCGACTATTTAGGACCTTAATTTTTAGGGTTTAAGGCTTCTAATTAGGGTTTAACACCTTCCTAAATAGTCGGGGTTGCCAACCCCGACTGTTTAGGATAGTGATTAAGCTGCTAATTACAAAATCGGGTCGGTTTTGATAAATAAAAAAAAACGGGTCGGTTTTAAGAAAAAAAAATTGAAATGGGTATGTTTTGAAAAATTCTTCAAACATATCCCAATGTAGTACTCAATCATGAGGCAAACCAAAGAGGTGTAGTTGGATCTTTGTACAGCTGGATAGTTATGCACCACGTTATAACTTAAAAAAAAATATAAATTATTTGGCTTGTCTTTGGAAACCAGAGACATAGTCCAAAATTTAATCTTAGCAGATCATGATTGGCCAGATTTCTTTGTACAAAGAGGATTATGGTAAAATGAAGTGTGTAGTTGTGAATAGGTAAAGATGTTTAGAGATGGCCTACAGTAAGCCACAAAGATTATCCCAATTTTTAAGTGCATGTACTACAAACTTGATATGCATCTCTATGGGAAAAAATGATGAGAAAGGATTAAAAGGTATACCAAAGAAACCTTGCTATCGTAGACCATCAATCTTCTGTGCACATAATCCTTGGCAAATAAGATCCTTCCTTTTGCGCCGAATCTGAGACGAAATTCTAACGCAAATACCAATCTCGTATGCTAAGTACAAAAGAGCAGCATTGCGCATCGCAACTGTTTTATTCCTATATTCTCTTAACTGTCCATTAGTGGGAGAGCACAGAGTTACAGTGTTTCGAATCTTTCAATACTGTCCCAGCCACCAAAAAATTTGAGTTTGATGAGCAGTAAGCCAAAATTGGGAAATAAACCAATTTCTAGAATTCTTCACGAAAACAATTCGACTTCATGATGCGAACACTCACGTTATGCAAGGCTTCGTTTCCCCCTAACAGCTTTCTTTCGAAGAATGTTTTTGATTCTTAACCGTTCATCTGCAGATGGTCCAACCAACAAACACTTGGAATCTTAATTTAATACAATTGTTCTAAAGTTAAATACGAAAAGCTCACCCCAATTGATAGACAAAATTTCGCGAAGTAACGTGAACTGATTATTAATTAATTATCGCTACATTACATAAGGACAAACTCACTTACCACAACACCAAAACACAAAAATTGTGAGGATTAAAGGTTAAAGTTTTATATTCTAACACAAATGAACGCATCTTTTTTTTTTTTAATGTCAGTGAAGAATTGCGTCCATGAAAACAATCGAGGAAACTGTATTAAAATGTGGTTATATGGCGTATTGCTGTGTCGGTATCAGCAACAAAGATAGGGTTTCTGTAAAACCAATATCACTGTAATCTGAGTTACCCTAATCAAAAACCCTAATTAAAAGAAGAAAAACAGGAAAAATCTCTGTACCCGCATAGAATCCCGAGGCTTCGACGGTGACGGATCCCATCAGCTTCAGTTGAGACGAGGACGACGGAGAGGGGTCCAAAGCAAATGGGAGATTTCCAGTACGAAAAAAAAATCATTTTTCTAGCTTACATTCACAAATGGCCCATAACAAACGTTACCTAGATAAATTATGGGCCCTGAGCCTTAGCACAAAAGAAAAAACTGCAGATTAGGCAGCGGCCTCTTTGTTTCAAAATGGGCCAGTGGTGCTTATGGATCCCGAAATCTAATACGAAACCTTCTCTGAACGTGCGTCTCTTTAAATTCTCTCTATTATTCTGACCAGCAAAATGTTAAAATAGAAGGTCCTGGCTTGGGACTAATTTCCAATCATCTTGATCAGATTTGTATGTGGTAAGTTTTAGAGTATAAGACAACATCCCTCAACTTTCATGACAGCTTTTGACTAGTAATAATTTAGATTAGCTTCAACTTCAAAGACGGGCATCAAAACTTAAAGAAACCAATGAGACATGATCCATATTATAACTGAGAAATTATCCGCTCATTCATTATCGAAGGGTGTCTCGCAGTTGTTGTCCTCCATGACTTTGCATATCTGCCATATTTACAGCGAAGCTAACTCATTTGCAGACAAATTGATTTAAAAAAAATGATGCTAGGATTTCGTCACCCCGGTCTTTTTTGCTTTAAAAGTGGATCTTCCTCAAGATGTCAGGCTCACTTTATTTTATGATAGATTGGACTTGCCGTATATAAGGAAGAATGTTAAATCACCACGTAATTGATAGTCTTTGAGGCGATGTAGAAAAAAAAAACCCGTTTCTAAGCCCATTTTAACTCTTTTTCGCACCTAACAGAGCAAAAGTGTTATAAAACTCAGGCAAAAAACTCATGTTCCATTTAATATAGAATATAGAACCAAAAAACGTAATGTGTTACGTTAGGTGTTATTTAACACTTTTTAAATTGAGTTAAATTGATGATCGGATTTGGACGCGTGGTGATATCTTCACCATCCAAATCAGCATCACGCTAACGAAAATTAGTTCCCAACTGAATCCCCCAGCTCCTATTTCATTTGTGTGAAAAACCCTAGCGATCCCCCGATCCCATCTCCAGTGCCTCCCTCATCTCCTTCCCCGCCACCACCTCCTCTCACTCCTTTGATGAACCACTCGATCTCTTCTTCCCTTCTCGCCTTCGACCAAGACAAAGCCTCTTGCTAATGACAAGGCTCTTCTCGTCCTCTATCTCCCTATTCTTCGCTGACGACAATGCTCCTCCCCGATTCCTTGTTGGCTCCAATTATCTCTTCTCGTTAACAAAGAAAATCCTAACATCATCTCTACCTCCAACGTCTATCCAGCTTCTAAGTCCTAACTCCTTTCAATATGGGCATGTTTGGTTATTTCCTAAAAAACCAAAAAATAGAAACGAAAACCAAGAAATCTCAAAAAGTACAATTTCACACATTTCCATCCCTAAAACTCACCCACAATATCTAATAAAATATTATTTTTATCCAACAACACATCCACTCCATCTAATAAAATATTATTTTCATCCAACAACTCATCCATCACATCCACCACATCTAATAAAATATTATTTTTATTCACAACATCACTCAACTCATCTCATCTCATATTTAAAAATCACTCCCATCATCCAATAAGATTGTGACAACTCATCTCATCTCATTAACATTTTATTTCTTTGTTTTCCTCCCAAAAAGCTAGGAAAACAATTTCTTTAAGTGTGAGTCACATCATCCAATAATATAATGACAACTCATCTCATCTCATCTATTTTCTTATTTTTAAAAAATAATAAAACAAAAGAAAACAACCTATTACAAGAAATAGGTTTCTTATAATTCATTTCCTTATTTTTTTCCACCAACCAAACAACATCAAAACAAGTTTTCTTAAAAAATCACTCACATCATCCTATAATAAGGTGACAACTCATCTCATCTCATCTCCATTTCTTTGATTTCCTTCTTTTTTTAGCCAACCAAACAATCCCAAAACCTATTTTTCTTAGAAATAGGTTTCATTTTCTTTGATTTCCCTCTTTTTTTAGGCAAACAAACAGCCCCTAAAGGTGAAACCTTCCAAACCCTAACTTCAGTAACTCTTCTGGTCTTCCTTCATATTTGAAATTTTTGATAATTTTAAACATTAAAGTCATTAAGAATAGTTTGCATTTATGATATATCTAAATAATCAACATTACGCATTGCTTTTTTTTCCTTCTAAGGCTTCTATCCCTTAACAGAAGGTAGAGTGTTATATTATGTGTTATCGTTGTTTTCAACATAACTTTCAAGTTCTAACCTTTAGTTTGGAATGTATCTTCCGGTTTCGATTTTATTTCCCCAATACCTTTTCCTTTTCTTAAAAATAAAGAATCGGGTTTCCTCGAGCACCTGCAGGAAGTTCCGCCCCTAAAAAAATTAAGGGAAAAATGCTTCCAGCCCCCAAAAGCCAAGTGAACGTGCTTCCCACCCCCAAGACTTGGTCAATGGGCGTTTTACCCATAAAAATAAAGAATCTGTTTTCTGAGCCCCCAAAACACAAAACCCAAGACATTAAAACATGTGAAGACCATAATACCCTTCTCTCTCTCTTTCTTTTTTTATTAAAATATGATGAGGGTTATTTTATTATTTTTGTTTTTCTCTCTCTCTTTATCATGATGTACCAAGAGGATAGCTGAAATGATTGATGACGATTATTTTATTATTTTTGTTTTTATTATTTTTGTTGTTTGTATTGGGATGTTGTTAAAGTTACTGGTTAATTGTTAATGTTACGAGTTAATTGTTAATGTTACGGGTTAATTGTTAAGGTTATGAATCCTCTTTCTCTCTCTTTCTTTTTTATTAAAATATGATGAGGGTTATTTTATTATTTTTATTTTTCTCTCTCTCTTTATCATGATGTACCAAAGGGATAGTTGAAATAATTGATGAGGATTATTTTATTATTTTCATTTTTATTATTTTGGTTGTTTGTATTAGGATGTTGTTAAAGTTACGGGTTAATTGCTAAGGTTACGAGTTAATTGTCAATGTTACGGGTCAATTGTTAAGGTTATGAATCCTCTCTCTCTCTCTCTCTCTCTCTCTCTCTATCATGATGTTTCTTTGAGATATTGAAATGATTAAAGAGGATTATTATTTTATTATTTTTGTTTTTTATTCTTTTTGTATTTTTAGAATATTCGTTGTTAAGGATAATGGTTGGTTGTAAATGTTATGCATTGATTGTTACGTTGTTAAGGATAATGGTTGGTTGTAAATGTTATGCATTGATTGTTAAGGTTACAGGTTGGTTGTTAAGGTTAATGGTTTGTTGTTAAGGTTATGGGTTTGTTATGTAGGTTACGGATTTGTTGTTAAGGTTACGTGTTTAATTGTTACGGTTACGTGTTTAATTGTTAAGGTTACGGATTTAATTGTTAAGGTTACGTATTTAATTGTTAAGGTTACGAGTTTAATTGTTACGGTTACGGTTTATTAATTGTTAAGGTTATGGTTTAATTGTTAAGGTTACGGGTTTAATTATTATGGTTACGGGTTTAATTGTTAAGGTTACGGGTTTAATTGTTAAGGTTATAGTTTAATTGTTAAGGTTACGGTTTAATTGTTAAGGTTACGGTTTAATTGTTAAGGTTATGGGTTTAATTGTTAAGATTACCGGTTTAATTGTTAATATTACGATTTAATTGTTAAGTTTACGGGTTTAATTGTTAAGGTTACGAGAGAGAGAGAGAAGGGATCCATAACCTTAACAATTAAAACCGTAACCATAATAATTAAACACGTAACCTTAATAATTAAACCTGTAACCTTAATAATTAAACCGTAACCTTAACAATTAATAAACCATAACCGTAACAATTAAACCCGTAACCTTAACAATTAAATACGTAACCTTAACAATTAAATCTGTAACCTTAACAATTAAACACGTAACCTTAACAATTAAACACGTAACCTTAACAACAAATCCGTAACCTACACAACAAACTCATAACCTTAACAACAAACCATTAACCTTAACAACCAATCCGTAACCTTAATAATCAATACATAACCTTTACAACCAACCATTATCCTTAACAACGAATATTCTAAAAATACAAAAAGAATAAAAAACAAAAATAATAAAATAATAATCATCTTTAATCATTTCAATATCATCAAAGAAACATCATGATAGAGAGAGAGAGAGAGAGAGGATTCATAACCTTAACAATTGACCCGTAACATTAACAATTAACTCGTAACCTTAACAATTAACCCATAACTTTAACAACATCCCAATACAAACAACCAAAATAATAAAAAATGATAATAATAAAATAATCATCATAAATCATTTCAACTATCCTCTTAGTACATCATGATAAAGAGAGAGAAAAAAACAAAAATAATAAAATAACCCTCATCATATTTTAATAAAAAGAGAGAGAGAGAGAGAGAGAGAGAGAGAGAGAGAGAGAGAGAGAGAGAGAGAGAGAGGATTCATAACCTTAACAATTGACTCGTAACATTAACAATTAACTCGTAACCTTAACAATTAACCCGTAACTTTAACAACATCCCAATACAAACAACGAAAATAATAAAAAAACGAAAATAATAAAATAATCTTCATCAATCATTTTAACTATCCTCTTGGTACATCATGATAAAGAGAGAGAGAAAAAATAATAATAAAATAACCCTCATCATATTTTAATAAAAAAAAGAAAGAGAGAGAGAAGGGTATTATGGTCTTTACATGTTTTAATGTCTTGGGTTTTGTGTTTTGGGGGCTCAGAGAACATATTCTTTATTTTTAGGGGTAAATCGCCCATTGACCAAGTCTTGGGGGTGGGAAACACGTTCACTTGGTTTTTGGGGGCTGGAAGCATTTTTCCCAAAAATTAATAAAACTCGGAAGACATCCTTGAGCAAGCGTTTTAGCAATAAAACATTGCCTATAAGTTAAAAAGTCATAAAATTGTTAGTCTAAGGTGTAGATCCAAAGTTCGAGATGAAAGCTGGAATCAAAAGCTCAGAAAAA